TGGCAGGAGGAATAAAGCTGCCTGCCCCTGCCTCCTCCATTGAGCCCTCAGTGGCGACAGGATACAGCTTCTGGGGACTGCTGTGCTCATGAATGTGTGCTATTGTTCCAGGCACACGTCGGCCTCAAGAAATAGCACAAAACAGCCCCGTCCTTATTCAGATGCAGAACCCCCTTCATCACTCAAACCAGCCTTTCCAGGTCACATGCCGGAGGCCTCTGCAGACAGGACGCAGCTGCCTCAAATCTGCTGCCTAACATTAGCCGCGGTTCAAAAAACCTGACGGCTCTGAGCTTCACGGTGGAAACTAGAAAGATGTGGGGTCCAGGCGCTAGGTTCTCCGAGGAACTGTGGCTGGAGAATGAGAAAAAATGTGCTGTGGTTCGGAAGCCTAAGCAAGGCAGGAAACGCCAGGAGCTGTTGGCCGTGGCCTTGGGGGTGAAGGTGGGAGTCAAAGGCAGTTTTCTTTGGCCCCCTCTCAGACTCTTTGCCTGTTCACAGATCTCGTCCCTGGTCCGAAGGGCCGCCCTCACGCACAACGACAACCACTTCAACTATGAGAAGACACACAACTTCAAGGTAAGCAAGCCTCTGCGCTCTTTCTTCTGTTACTAAAGGGCAGGTGGAGAGGTGCGGTTGATGGTTTCCGTCCCCCCTTTGATTATAAAGTAATGAGACAGCAGATTCCTTTGCTTTCCACATCTAGTTGCGTGCACAACATGAGACCTTTGCTTTGCATCAAACTGGAGACCTCAGACAGCCGTTTGCCTGATGCCTAGAAACACCTATATGTATGTTAACTTAGTCCTGGAGACCTGGGCTCATTTCCTCTCCATATCCCCCCGCCCCGTCCAGCAGAAGAAGAGCAGAGCACGCCCGATCTCTGCCACTGGGAGATCTTCTGATGAACATCGAGCAGTACTTTTCCACTCGGAGTGGCTCTAAAGAATATTGCTGTCTCTGAGGCACAGAAAACCATTGCCCATTTCACATTCTGTGTTTTGTCTTTGTTTTCAGGGATGCTAACTCCTCTGGTTTATGTGTAGACGGCTGTGAATAGGACAGGAGATGCCATCCAGTAGCTTTTGCTTGTGCTCTGGGTACGGGGTGGGGGGGGGAGCACCCCAGCAGCCTTGCCAGGCTCCCCTCTCGGCACAGCCTTGATCCTGCTCACCAGACCAAACAAAAAGATATGGGAAGCTGGTGGGAGCTTTAGTGCATACTCCCACGTGTGTTTGTACACTGGAAATACTGCTATCTTCATTTCAGACTAGCCCTTGTAGAAAAAGAAAAGAAAAGAAAACAAAACAAAACGGCCTACCATCAGAAATCACGGCCTATTTCCTTTGCCCTAATGTGTTTTCCAAGAAATGGCTGGAGGAGATTCCGATGCCAAATTGGCCTGGCCGGAGATGTGGTTGAGTGGAGGGGACACAGTGAGAGGTTTTGCCCCAGCAAATGGGCTGACGTTTAGACACTGGTGAGAGTGGAGACTGAAGGATCCAGGAAGAAAAGAAGAGGCGGGGGCGGCAAATTGTGAATTGTCTTCTTTTAAAAAAAAAAAAAAAATTTTTTTTAATGTTTATTTATTTTTGAGACAGAGAGAGACAGAGCATGAACGGGGGAGGGGCAGAGAGAGAGGGAGACACAGAATTCGAGGCAGGCTCCAGGCTCCGGGCCGTCAGTACAGAGCCCAATGCGGGGCTCGAACTCGTCAACCGCAAGATCGTGACCTGAGGCAAAGGCGGACGCTCAACCGACTGAGCCACCCAGGCGCCCCGTGAATAGTCTTCTTTTTTTAAACTCGTTTCCTTTAGGACCAGTAGCCCAAGTAACTGTTGAAGGGACTAGATAGCCCTTCACCAGAGGTGACCAGGGAAACCTATTTTATTCTGTCGATTTTCAATTCTTTGTAAGGACAGATATGTGTCTATTAAGTAAACACTCGTGTCTGTCGGGTCCGTTTGCCCTGCTGCTAAAGCGAGGGGCTTGGGCATCTGCATGCTGTAATTGAGCTGAGGAATGGAATTATTCAGCCCTCCATATTTAGCCTGAGGATGAAGACTTGTATTCTATAGATCCCCACTGACGCCAAGGCTCTAGATATTTCTCCTGTGGCTGAATAGTGACGGCTCTCATGGGGAGTACAGAAAGCCTCGTGTTTTTTTCTCTTTTCTGTTTTCTGTATTTACCCTTATTAATTTTTTTGGTCTTAAGAAAATGTTTTTCTGACTTTGGGCAGAAATCCTGGTTCTTTGCATCCTGTGGATGTACTACCACGGGTTGGGAAGGTGGATCTTCTTGGACTTGGCAAATTCTTTTCCTTCCTCTTGAACACACCAGCGCTTCTGGCTTTGAGATGGAATTGGAATTCTGCCCTCACCGCGATACGTGCTTGCATGGGGATAGCTTCTCCCTCGGCGTACCGTGCCTGGGCTTGTGTCTTGCGACAACTAAATGTTTGGTCGATGTACACTTCCAAAACTGATTTCGGTTTTTTTAATCTTAGATCTCTGATTGGGAAAGGAGGACATTTGAAGCAAAAAAGGCAGCTGAGACTGAGTTTCCTACGTAGTGCTGTTGCTAACACGCGATCTGTATTAATTACTTATTTACCACTGGAATCCATCAACAGCTCTTTCAGTGTTTGCTGGAAAAGTCAGTATCTACTCGGTGTGATCCCTTCTAACTTACAGCTATCGAGACAAGAAAAGGTAGAGAGCAGACAAGTTGTTAGGGGAAAGTACGCAAGGCAGACAGGAGCGTTTCTCTTCCGTGTGTAAATAGACATCTTCAAGACATGGCAGACCCTTGAGTCTCTGTGTCCGTTGACCGTGGCTTTCAATGGTACTGCCCGTGCCACTGTCCTGATGGATGAGTGGCAGGGCCGGGAGGGGGTGGTTTCCTCTGTCACTCCTCACCCCTGCCACCCTCATTCAGCCCTCTCCTCACCCCCAACCAATTTGAAGTGGAAATTTTGCATGGTCTTTAGAGGAATACTCCAAAAGCTGGTCAGTGCTATAAATAGAGCAGCGGGTTTTTAGTAATCACCACTGAATCAACCAAACAAAGAAAAACTCTTATCAAAAGGCCCCTGCCATCTGCTTGAAATCAGCATAAAATTAAGACATAAAACACAAACTTGTTCTTTATGCTGACATCTAAGAGGCTTTGTGCAGAAACTCTTGATTTGTAATTCGGGTTATTATTTTAGAGTACTACGTGATTAGTATAGCGTAAGTGTTCAATACAAAAAAACAAATAATCGCATTTTCACGCTCATCAGCAAATAAGGTTTGCTAGACCCTGGCTGTGCTCTTGCCTAGGGGGTCCTATGAGAGATTCCAATCTGCCAGCGGATCTAAATGCCTCACCCCACAGCCAGATTTTTTTGCCCCAGTAAGGACTATGCCTCCAGGTAAAAAGCGGCCTCCTGGCTCTCTCCAGAAACTTCATGAAGAGGAATGAATAGAAACTCCCACCCCTATACACTTTGGGAACTTAACTGCCAGAAAGCCCCCAGGCACTGCTCCTAGGTGCCTACCTACTGTCCTTGCTGTTTAAACAAAGCATGTCTAAAAAAAAATTTTTTTTTTAATTAAAAAATTAAAAAAATAAACAAATCATGTCTAGGAAAAGACAGAAGTTAGCTCTGGGAAGAAAAGCTTTTGGAAGCAAATTAAAGTTATACTTCCTCTCATGCAATAATTATGTACTTTTCATATGCAGATATAGTTGTTGCTCATTTAAATCCTAAATTCTCTGGGATTACTTGCACATACTGGGAATTAGGAGGTATTTGTTGAAGAAATTATGAAATTGACAGGATCTTATCTAAAATGAAAACCCTTTGGGGCGCCTGGGTGGCGCAGTCGGTTAAGCGTCCGACTTCAGCCAGGTCACGATCTCGCGGTCCGTGAGTTCGAGCCCCGCGTCAGGCTCTGGGCTGATGGCTCAGAGCCTGGAGCCTGTTTCCGATTCTGTGTCTCCCTCTCTCTCTGCCCCTCCCCCGTTCATGCTCTGTCTCTCTCTGTCCCAAAAATAAATAAATGTTGAAAAAAAAATAAAAAATAAATAAATAAAATAAAATGAAAACCCTTTGATAAAGGAAGAGACACTCCTTTAATTCATTTTATATCTGCATCTCTGTTTATCTAGTAGAGACACTCTCCTGTACGTAGAATATCTCTCTTTGAGATGGTCTACCCTAATAACACCTTTTGGCTAAGCTCCAAAATCCCCAGAGCCCCAACAATCTGGATGGCTGTCCTTCCTTCCTTCCCCACTTAGCACAGCGATGATGTAGCAATGGTCAGCTTAGTACTCCTGGCCATAGCTTGACCTTTGGAAAAGAGCTTAGTTCTATGAGCCTCAGTTTCCTTATCTATAGAATGGGAGTGTTGTAAGGCTTAAAGAATACACGTAAATCACTTCCAGTCCGTGGCACCCAGTAAGGTGAGCTTCTATTATTTTACTATTCATCTTTTTGTCTCTCTCATCTCTTGCGCTGTAATGTTCAGCTTTCTCTGTCTCTATATTTCTTATTTTCTTTTTTTTGGATTTATTTAGAGAGAGAGAGCGTGTATGAGTGGGGGAGAGGCAGAGAGTGAAAGGGAGAGAAAGAGAGAGAGAAATCCCAAGTAGGCTCTGTGCTGTCTGTGTAGAACCCGACTCGGCGCTCCATCTCACAAACCATGAGATGATGACCTGAGCCGAAATCAAGAGTTGGACGCTTAATCGACTGAGCCATCCAAGCACCCCGTTTCTTTTTTTCTACCTTACTTCTCCATGCCCTTCTTTCCTTTTTTCTATCGTCTGTTTCTTCCACTCTCATTAACTACATGTAACAGAAAAATGCAAGAGTGCTCTGGGCAATGCAAATGACATGAACGAAAACTTGGGAGTCAGAAATGAGCCAGGAGTGAACAGGGTGCTCCCTGTTTGGGAGACCATCGAGGAGGGAGGTGCTCACTTCACATCTGGGGTGGGCCAGATCCAGGGAGACGGATGACCCTGGGCATTTTCTCCACTCCTCCCACTCGGTGCTCAGCCCTCCCAGTCTGCATGTGCGCATACATCACTCCTTCCTTCTACTGAATTCTCTCCCTCCACCCAAACATTGCAGGACCACTCTTCTCTCCTTACATGGAATATGGATGGAGAGCAGAGGCCCAGAAAATTCTAAAAGTTGAAAAGCAAACCACTCGGCCCCACCCCACATTTCCCATCCCCTGTCCACCTCCCCGCCCTCGCCCCGTCCCTCCCCTTCCATCCCCTTCCTGTCCCCCACCCATCCCTTGCCCAGCCTCCTCCCAGCTTTACTTTTCTCCATAGCACTGACCACTGGCACGATACGTATTTACTTGCAGGCTCGCCTTCCCCTTACCAGCCGGAAACACTCACCCCTGGGGCTAGGGACAGGGGTTCGGGTCTGTTTTCCTTTTGCAGAAACCCCAGTGTCCAGGACAGGGCCTGGCCCAGAGCAGGCTGTCGGTAGGTATTGGCCGAAAGGACGTGTAGCAGGCATCTCACGGCCCTGTCTACCTAAGACTGCACGTTCTCTCCCCACTGGCCACCCC